TAATTTTATTTATTCTATATATTCGGGCCAACGGGCCGGGTTGGGCCCATTTACAGCTATTATTATTACTTAAAAATGTCCCGCCAACTCAACTTTTAATTTTTATCCATAAAAAGTTTTATATACAAGTTTTATCGAAATTGTCCTCACCGAATTATTAACTTTATATGGCCTTATTCATGTATGTACATATGTGCGTACGTAAGTACTCTATTTTGCGGGATACGCCATCTTCCTTTGTAAAAATACTTAACGGTTTATAAGGTATTTTTGTATAATTTATTTATTGTGTAATCTTGCTTATTGTTCGTTAATGTATTAATTGTTCCTATGACGATATTACGGGGCGTGGTGTTACTTATTCGATATGCACCATAGGAATATCAACACGATTCGACAAGGAAGATGGTTTAGCCCGAGAAATACAGTACATACATACCTTTTTCTTTTTGATTTTGTCTTAAAAATACCTTAATTCCAAAATAGTTGCATCTAAATGGCTGGGTTTTTTTTGTAATAAGTAACACTAAGGAGAAACTCTGTAGATCCGACAAGATTTTTACGTTTTTCACATCATGTTTCGGATAATGTTGAAGATCGCCTTAAATCAACGTAAAAAAAATACTGAAATTCCTATAATTGAGTAGTAACTTTTGTTATGTGAAACTCTGCTTAATATTAACTTAAAATTCTAATTTATAGTTAGTTTTATGTCAATAACTGTATGTTACGTAGTAATTGCTTAGTGACCAAATTTTATTACGTATAGGCATGCATTATTCTTTACGTACATTATTCCTTGCATTTATCCGGATTATAAACTTTACAGAATTTTGATATTTTTAATAAACAAATATTATTTATATATTTATAATATGAAAATTTTCATTCATAACCAGTGCCATCCTCTAATTAAATCAAGCAGTCTTTTAAAAGTAACAAGCATTCTATGTAATAATATGAAAATAGTAATAGCTGATCATACCAAAATCAATAACTTATCGAATTAGTGGAATAATCGTTACAGTTCTCATAAATTTTGGGAAAACTGATAAAAATTGACCGATGATTATTCGATAAGTTTTTGAATTTGGTGTTATCGGCATTGGATTTTCGGCATTACAATAATGCCAATAAGTGTACATTATCATTATCGAATTCGGCCGAATAATCATCAATTTTTATCAGTTGTCCCAAAATTTATGGGATCAGCTGTAATTTTTAAGTAATAATAATAGCTGTAAATGGGCCCAACCCGGCCCGTTGGCCCGAATATATAGAATAAATAAAATTA